AGTCATGGTCTCATCAGACCATAACATATTTTCCTAACAAGCTTTTGTCATACCTGTTGTAGGTTTTTGCAAAACTGCTTGGATGCTTCTGTCTTGCCACCCTACCCCACAGCCCAGACATATAAAGAATGTGGGAGACTGTTGTCACATATAGTATACAGCCAGTACTTGCCAGAAATTCCTGCAGCTCCTTTAATATTTATAAAGGCCTCTTGGCAGCCTCTTGGACCAGTTTTCTTCTTGTTTTTTCATTGATTTTGGAGGAACATCCAGTTATTGGTAATGTCAATGTTGTGCCACATTTTCTCCACTTGTTAATGAACGTCTTCACTATGTTCCATGGTATATCTAATTGCTTGATAATGTTTTTGTACCCTTCTCTTGACTGATACCTTCCAACAATGAGATCCCTTTGATGCTTTGTAAGCTCTTAGTGGACGGTGGCTTTTGCTGTAAGAGGCAACTGAGTAAATGTCAGAAGAATCCTACTAGAACAGCTGAACTTTATATTGACTTAATCAAAGTCACTTTAATTGACGTCATGTGTGTTAGAGTAGAAAAAACAGATGATTGACACCAGGCCGATCTTCAAGAAGCAGGTTTATTTGACCGTCTGGGAAAACGAAGCAAGTCATGTGCGTTCAAATAATATGGGCTTGCAGGCCCTTTTTTTATAGGGATTTGAACAATATAACATATGTGTTAACTTGAATTATCTCAAAAAATCAGCTAAAAATGCCACCCTGTACTTACATTTGATCATGCCACATTAGATAGGTCTTCTTCCCTTGGTAGGACTCCCTTATGTCAAAGTTAGGGGAAGACTGTCTTGACATTGGATCTATTGTTCCTCAAGCCAAGGTCAAAAAACATGTTTTTGACTTTCTGTGTTTGGATGCTTGTTACCTCAATCTATAAGACTTTAATGATTTACATGAACTCTAGTTAGCTCCATCTACAAAGTCTTAATGTTCTACATGAACACTAGTTACCTTAACCTACAAAGTTAAATGTTCTACATGCTTATTTTAACCTGTTATGTTGTTTTGCATTATATAAATCATATGAGTTTAATCAATCATTATTCTCTACAATACATTGCTAATATGAAAATAGAGGATTCATCCTGGTTTTATCTGTTATATATGAATTGCTCTACAAAGCTAACACTCAGTAACATAACTATAATAATATTAATAATAGTGTGCATGCTGATTAATATCAATATGAAATATATGAGTTAGTTACAAAATCCCACTACGGTGAACTGACTACTAGTTAAGATCCGTTTGAATGTGATTGGTTCATTCTGAACATAACCACATTCCTAAATATAAGAGGGTGTGAACATTTATGCAACTTGTGTATATTCACTACTGATGGATTGCACCCAGGACTGTTACTTATCACATGCACAGACCTTCCTCCATGGTATATATAAATCTATCTATGTTTGACTGCAGTACCTTTTAAAAAGGAACTTTACCCATATCTTCAAATTGACAACAAAGGCACCTTTACAAATGTTTAGTAATGACAATCTACAAACACATACTTCTAGATAATTTCTGGCTTTTTATTCTTTGCATACCTTGATTTTCTTATCTATCCCAATTTTTCTGACAGTGGCCATTTTTTACTATGGGCAGATTAATCCATCTCCCTTTTCTTTCTGGAACTCTGGCACATGTGACCAGGACATGTGACCATGCACATCAACTCGGGGGAAGAAAATGCCTTTCCCTGAGATCTCATGAGATGATACAGATGAGATTTACCAGCAATGCACTGCTGCTGTAACCTTCCCAAGATGCAATACTTGGGCACGATTACATCATTTGGGCCCAAGCGAAGAAGGAAGTAGAAAAAAAGAAATTGTAAGTAAAATAAAAATATGTTTGTTTAAATATTGAATGGAAGATGATTTCATATCAGCATGCAGAGCTGCATGCTGATGTGATTTTAAGTGAAAGGGGGTAAAGGTCCAGTTTAAGTGAAATTGCCGAAGACAGTGAAATGACACTTACGAAGCAATTGCTTACAATACATAATTTTCTTTTATTAAGAACAAAATTATTGTACATACTAGGTCTATAGAAATGAAACACAGGACATACAATATGTGTTTCTCAGACTGACGCTTAATATAAAATTTAGGAAAATTTGTAATGGTACAGTAAATCTTCTTCCATATGTCGTATGAGGATGAAACATGCATCACTTACAACACAGTAGAATCTGGACAAGCTTTCCATATTGTGTGACATTACTGAGAGTGTTCTTGCCTGGATGTTATTTACCAACCTAGGGGCAAGTTTGCACAATGCAGAAAGCAAAGCAACCAACCACATACTGGCTTATGATTTTGTACCAGGACGTAGACATTGAAGATGTCAACTCTGAGCTGTCATTTGCGGTTTTAAAAAATAAATGCAATTTAAAAGTGATCGGTAATGGCTGATGGAATGATTCTGGAATCTAGGTTCTGTCTATGGACTTGTTTCCACCAGCCCGCACATCTACCGCAATGTCCCGTGCTCAGAATGCAAGGGATCGCATGGACGATTTTTTGCAATTTCACTGCATTTATCGCTTTAAGACATACTGTGATGTTCTCTCCCCAGCCTGATGACTGGACAGTGAGCTGCAACAGACTGATGAAGTCTTCTCTCTGCTTTCTCCTCCTGTGTTCCTTTCAACACATTTGCATGCAGCACACCTCACTGTCTTTCTCTCCTGCCCTCCTGCATTACTCTACCTAGAGTTCAGCTTTAAACCAAAAAAAAATTATGAACTTTAATCTGTAAATATTTCTATTTACAGGTTCCTGTACTCTGATCCTGAAGACCAGTTTAAATGTTAGTGTTTTTGTATTTTTTTTAGGTAGAAATAATTATCATATAAAAAAATGTCTTGATTGGTTTGTTGATTGTATCTGGGAAATGACAGGCAGTGTAGACATTGAAGAATAAGCGCTTTTGTAGTACATCCCATTCTCCATCTATGCTATCAGAATGTACATGTACTCACAGGCCATTGATGAGACAATTACTGTGTGCTGCCCTGTGCGCCGGTATTGTTCACCTCCGCTCTTCTCTATCACGCTGAGTCACACATAATAAGCCAACTGCAGAAAGACTACGGAGCTTAGACTCTGTTAAAGTCAATGTAAACTGTAACAATGAACAACTCTTTGTTGCACCTTTCGATCTGGTAACTATACTATTGCAGGTATTTTGTTATGTCTGTTTGATAAAGGAAAATAAATAGATAAATAAATAAATAAATAAATAAACTGTTGATCTTGTTGGAAATTCAGGGCTGTCCTGTGTCTTGTGCACCCAACCTGTGTTATATCAAAGAGTCTATTTAGCTCTACTTTAATTTAGTTCTCTATATAGCTTAGCTCCTGGAATACAGGATAATTAGCCTTTATGTTGTACAGATATGGGAAGCGGCGTGGTTAAGCAGTTAAGCAAAATACACAGCGCTGGGCTGACACCACAAAAATGCTGTGTGCTGACATCTTACAGTTTACAACTGCATTTCTGTGAGTGCATTTCTGGCAGGTCAACAGGTATTGTCCTGTGTCTGTAGTATCTTTAAAGTACTCCGGGAATTAACAAAATTAACCTTTGCAGTGGGACTACCCCCACATTGCAAGGGTTAACTGCTAGTTTTAATCTAGGGGCTGGGTTTAAGAAGATGTACTCACCTGATACTTGATACTGCCTGACTACTAGACCGGTCTTTGCAGCCTCTTCTTCCCTGGGATTTGGTGGCCTAAGCTCCGCTGACATCATCACATCTAAAGAAGGTCTATACACCTGCATAAGACGTGAGGATGCCAAAGGACATATCACAGCCAGAGTGGAGGGGGAGAAAGGTGAATACTGATCGCCCGCAGAACTGAGGATCAGGTGAGCATATCGTCTGTATTCCAGCCGCTAGAGAAAAATGAGCAGTTAATTTTTGCACTGCCCTACATAGGCTAACTTTTTTTTAAATTCCCATAGTTTCTACCTTAAAGGGATGAAACACATAGAATTGTGCTTGTACTGTACTGTGCTGTATATATATTAATTTATTTATTAATTAATTTATTTATTTTTTACCTTGACTTACATTTTACAAGGTTTTAGATAATGTAGGTCCACTTAAATGACTGGATTTTTTTTTTTATTATGCTAAAACATTTATGTGTTTGTCCACATCTGTTATTAAACCTCTTAGAGTCTTTGAACTAACCCTGACCGACCAATCGCAGATCAGGGATGATTAGCTGTCAGGATATCTGCACTGTGCAAGTTCACCTCTACTGGCATTGCAGTCCGCAGTCAAGGGGATGTAGAATCATGAATAACATCAGGAGGACTTAATATCAAATAGAACAGAACATACGAAAAGAAGGAAGTGAAGAAGGTAAGGTAACCAGCAGTGGAGCAGAAACCAATGTTATTAGACCAAACCAACACAGGCCATACAGAATGATGTGATCAGGAAATATATGTGGATCTAAGCGGCATGCCATTGAAAAACATTCCAAATCTAGTGATGTCATCATCAGACAAAAAAGGAATAACTTGGAAGGAATTGAAACAAAATAACGAATAACATGTCTCGGGATGTTAAAGGGACAGTCCACCAAAAATCATAATGACGTTATGGGTGGATAGTGGCGCGCTGAATATCTTTTCTATCTCTTAGAGACTCAAGCTTCAAGGTCTCGTTCCAACTGTATCCCCAATGTATGATGTGAAAGACTTCACAGACAGGGTGAGACAACTCATACTGGCCACAGGCGGTGGCCAGAGTCAAAATTTAGGTGCATACATTTTACTGCTAGAGTTCCATAGAGATAGAAAAAGCTGGAAGGCCATTCAACCGGCCAGTATTATCCACAATTAAAATTTCACTTTGGAGTGGACGGACCTCTTAATAAAAACCAGTGCACAGGCAGAAAAGCTGTAAGATTCAAAAAACCCTTTAGTGTGTTTTTTTACAGCAGCTAGAAAAAAGTACATGTGATGGACTGTTGTGGGTAACACCCTTAATTTCCTGTGCAATAGCTTTCATGAACAATCCCAAGTTATATCTTGTAGCATCCGGACGACTCTTCCTCTCTGGAGTGACAACAACGCAAACAGCGTGAAAAGCCAGCGCTCACGCATTGCTCCGTCTCGAGTATTCTATTTGAAACTGTGCCTTCCGATGGCGTCTTTTACGGAGATGGTGGACCCTTCAGGGAATTGCAAGACCCATTGCCAGTCGCTGCATTTTGAGCAGACCACTGTGGAAAGAATAAGAAAGAGGGAAGGAAGCCGGGACAAAAGGAAAGAAAGAAGGGAAGAAAGTATGGAGGAAATGGAGGGAGGAAAGAAAAGAAAGAAAATAATGAAAAAAAAGAAAGAAAGTAAGAAAGAAAGAAAGAAAAAAGAAAGAAAGATAAGGGAGGGTAAGATGGGAGGGACAAAGAATGGAAAGAGGAAGGTAAAATAGACAGAAAGGAGAAAGAGAGGAAGAAGGATGGAATTGGATGTGGTAAGAAAGGAAAGAGGGAGGGAAGCATGGAAGGAAAGGAAAGAGGAAGAAATTTAGAAGGGAGGGGAGCATGGGGGGAAAGCAGATGGTGAAGGAATTAAGGAGGGAGGGAGGAAAATAAAAAGCGATGGAAGCATGATGGGTAATAAGGGAGGAAGTGAGAAATGAAGGAAAGGAAGGAAGAAAATATGGAAGTAAACCATTAAGGGAAGGAATAAGGAGGGAAGGAGTCATGGAACGATAGAAGTGAGGAAGAAATGGGAGGGTAAAAGGGAGAAAGGAAAAGGGAAACAGTGAGAAAGCATAGAGGGAAGGAGAGTAAGGAATGCATGGGAGGAAGGTAAGGAAGGGTCAGAGGGCAAGGAAAATAGAAAAATACAAAAAGACATTTTAGTACATTTTCAAATATTAAATTGCTAAAGAACACATCTGCCCATTTGCAGAAACCTACTCCCCCATTTTAAAGAGCAAATCTAAGAAATAAAAAACTGAATAAGTGCATCCAGGCTATACTGTATACAGTGTGTGCATGTCCAGATAGAAAATAGGCTTTTAGAAGGCATCTGCACCAATCTTTTGCATTTTCTATGCTGTACAACCTCCATCACACCTGTATTTCCTGTATGCAATGCTTCTGAAGATGGAGCAATAATTTCTCTTTATATGATCATGAGCAATACATTATAAAGGCTTCATTGCTGTCTGTCAGTCCATTCAATAAAAGCCATCTCCACAACCATGACATTAAAATATCTGTCAATAAGATTATTCGTCTGCCAGTCAATCTTCCACAATAGCTTCAATGGTAATAGAAAGTGCTTGCTATTTACTCTGGTCTGCTTGCATCTCCAGAGAACATTTGCTTTATTTATTGTGCCGATGTCCTATCTATAATCTGCAGAAGTGAGTAATACGTCACTAAGACATCCGTCTTATCATACTTAAAGGGACTATACAGTCTTTTAATGTTTTTTCAGATAAAATAATAAAAGTGTGTGTAGATTTTTATATATATA